TAACAGCTGTGAGATTGGTGTATGCCCAAAACTAGAAGAATTAAGATACCCCTACAGAAAGTGAAATAATAAGGAAAATATTAGTCTCTGCAGAGATGGACAGGCTAATTTTAGAAATCAAAGATAAGGGTGAGAAAGATTATTATGAGGTCTGGAGTAAAATGTATCAATGGCTGGAGTCAAGGAAAAAGAAAGAAAGGGTTGACGCTTTATAGGAATGAAAGTTTTTAAACCAAAGAGAATGGAATATAATGGGCAAATATGAGATGATATGAGTGCATGAGTATAAAAGATGGTTGTAAATATGCATATAATTGTATGAAAATGTAAACAGAAATAATATGCAGCTAGCACTATACTAATAACATAAGGGGAAAAAGGAAATTAACTGTTATGTGTACATCTATACTATAGCTTGTAAGGCCAAAATGATGGGCAAGAAAGTCGCACTATGTTCAATTGTTTTTAATGTTTATTCAATAAAATTTATACAATAAAATAAAAAATAAAAAAAGAAGTTCATCCATCTTCAAGCTGTCAAAGTTGAGAAACACTGAACTAGGACTTAAGTCATCAGCCTTAGACATACCCCAGAAATTCAGGTAGGTGACTTGGGCCCAATCTTATTATTTTCCCTTAATCCATTTCACAAGACTGTGGTTGGGGGTGATAAACTCAGGGAAGACCCCACTCCCTTTGAGTGCTGAGCAAAAGGCAGGACCTCAATTCAGTGAAGGAATAAAACCAAGAAGTTGCCACAAGTAGCTTCATGACGAAGGTCTCCATTTGGGATTATGCGTGTTCGTTCTTGATTTCCCAAGAACTGGGTGACTCTCATGAGAGAGCATTGCAGGTTTGGGACTTGGGGTCTTTAAAGTTGTCCAGATACGGAATTTTCCACACATCCAAACCATGGCTTCAATGTTAGGATCAAGCCAAAATGTGGCTTCCTAGACTCTGCCTTTTTCCAGGCTTAGTTCAAAGGGTAAAACTGGATCTTGGTTTATTTACGGATTTGATTTCCATGGTTGCCCATCTCACCTAAAACCATCACTTCGAAAGTCAAAACAGAATATATA